AAATCGCTGCTTTCAAAGCTCAAGTGACCGAGCGGAAAGATAATCTTTGTGTTTGTCCAAACAAAGCCGGTCAAACAAAATCCTGGTCTCAGTGGATTTTGGAGCCCACCGGGAAAGCAATACAGGGCCTGTCTGGGACAAAAATTAACCTCCTTCTCACCCGCCTACGTATGAGGTTACAGGTCAATATTATTCATCGCTCTATTGATATTGGACCTGCTTGTGTTCTTTTTCTGTAAGCACAACAGTGCAATGACTTCAATGGATAGGATATGTTAAGAATGACCTCAAATAGTTTTTTTTTTTTGTTTTTGTTTTTTTTTGCAATGACAACAAACAGGGATGTAAGAAAAGTCGCAACCTTTGGCATGTGGTTTGGATTATCGCAAATAAAGCGATTTTGCAGTGGAATGACCGAGGTGACGTACGACTGCTCTTCGGCCCAAAAAAAAAAAAAAAAAAAAAAAAGACAGTTAAACACAGCAACTTGGAACAATTAGACAAACAGCTGCCAGGTTTGTAGCGTTTTCAAAAAAGTTAAAAACAAAGCTAGAACTTGTCAAACGCCTCGAAAAGCTTTGATAACAAACACATTTACAAAAAAAAAAAAAAGCATAAAATTCTGGAGTGAGTGTGAGTGAGTTAGTAGCGTGGGTAGCAGAAGTGCAAATGCTAGCTTGAAATTGTTGGCGACTTTGTTGAGCCTTTCATAGCAACAATTTTTTTTTTCTGTTCTTGAAATTATGAACAGTTTTTCAAAGGATTTTTGGGGGGGGGGGGCTCAACATTCTTAAAAATTGTTTTAAAATATTCCTAACTGTGTGTATATATCTTGGGTTTAAACACAACTCACTCTGTAGCAACGTTCCTTGGAGACTTGGCAACGCACCTTGAATTTATTTCATTTTTTTTTCTTTTTTGATCAACTGAGATTGGTGTTTTGAACCTTTTCATTGCTAGGAATCTGTTGCGGTAATGCTTTCACTGTGGCTTATCTCCTCATGCCCATTTGTTGTATGTATCAGCTCAAGTGGCAGACATACCGGTACTTGAAAAAAAAAAAAAAGAACCCGAGAAAAATGAAGCGATAAAGAAAGCCGGCCCACAGATCATCGGGACAAAAGTGAAACTAAAACCGGATCGCTTTACCGGCTTTTTTTTGTTTTTTTTAAATCGCTGCTTTCAAAGCTCAAGTGACCGAGCGGAAAGATAATCTTTGTGTTTGTCCAAACAAAGCCGGTCAAACAAAATCCTGGTCTCAGTGGATTTTGGAGCCCACCGGGAAAGCAATACAGGGCCTGTCTGGGACAAAAATTAACCTCCTTCTCACCCGCCTACGTATGAGGTTACAGGTCAATATTATTCATCGCTCTATTGATATTGGACCTGCTTGTGTTCTTTTTCTGTAAGCACAACAGTGCAATGACTTCAATGGATAGGATATGTTAAGAATGACCTCAAATAGTTTTTTTTTTTTGTTTTTGTTTTTTTTTGCAATGACAACAAACAGGGATGTAAGAAAAGTCGCAACCTTTGGCATGTGGTTTGGATTATCGCAAATAAAGCGATTTTGCAGTGGAATGACCGAGGTGACGTACGACTGCTCTTCGGCCCAAAAAAAAAAAAAAAAAAAAAAAAAAAAATT